ATAGTAGTATTACTCCATTTTGTCTCTCTGTAACGTTGATCTAACGAGTTTTAGTGTTTTATTTTATTTATTTATTTATTTATTTATTCTTTACCTACAAATGTACTTGCACGAGACCGCTCTTGCCTCTACATAAATGCAACTCGTTATCTTTGCATTGATAAATATTTCAGCCATATCAAAGATACTCTGATTTTTACGAATTAAAAAAAATCTTACAGTTGACATACACACAAGACAGCTTAACCTTTGAGAGTTAAACCCAAACATACAGACAAACAAAACAAAACAATTTAAAATAAAACAAAACCGGTGAATAAAAATCTCGAAAACAATTCTCTTCTTTTTCGTATTTGTTCTCACTAGAGTATTGATTCCTGTTCACGATTTACCGATGGGGTATACCCATATTATATCGTGTACTGATATGAAATAGCCTATATTTTGTGCACTTTACGACTGCTTCACGCGTGATGTGTGGGTGGTTGGCGGGTGTTCTTGTTTGGTTTGCGCCTTCTCTCCCATCAGATATCTATAGTCCTTAACTCTCTTTTTTCTGACCGCGTTACTCTCTAGTAAACCTCTAATCTTCGGCACTTACATATATCATAATTCTTGTATTTCTCTGGAGAATTTTCCTCTGCGGGATGTATCGGCCAACGTCAGACATTGACGGACGAGCCCTTATTATATTTTGACTTAATTCTGTTGCAAGTGCCGTAAAACTCTTCACTGAAAGCTAAAACGCGTGGTATCCTGACTAGGTACATACTGCCTGGTCGTCGAAAGGACCATCATTCATTTCTTGTATGTGCCTTACATTGAACTTCACTAGAATCCCCGCCCCTCCCTTCTTTGTACATCCCCCTAAAACAGATTGACGTAGGCCTATAATGTGTTTTACAGGTTGCACTTATCCTTCATAGGCTACGAAGATTTCAAAGGAAAAAGAGAAATGAAATCTTTCCTGGACTTGCTTTTCGTCTAGCCGTCTAGTTTTTTTTAAAGATTCACCCCCCC